AGAAAAAAATTAAGAAAATAAAATAAAAGAAAGAAAGAAAGAAAGAAAGAAAGAAAGAAAGAAAGAAAGAAAGAAAGAGAAAAGAAATAAAAATCAAAACGTACAGATGCAAAATTCCCAATAATGAAATAAAAGCGTAATATGTTAAAATCTTTTTATTTTATTTTATTGACGTAATACTCACGTTTCTTTTGTGCATTTATTCAGCTCCTTTCATCCGCTTATGCCAATACGATACGTGAAGATATATAATGTCTATTTACAGTATCCTGCTATAGTATGCACATATAAACACAAAGGACTACACTGCCTATCTTTATATGTACCATGAATCAATATCTTCATGTTATTAATTAATAGTCCTAGTCTCTTTTCTTTACCCGATGACAACGCAGAGCATTGCAGATGAAGGCGCAACTAAATGGAGCGGTAAACTACTTATCTACGTCGCCTTAATAATCAAACAGAAGCATTTGTTTGTTTGGTCAGGTTTGAAGACAAAAGCGCGCACACTCATGCAGATTACGTGTTAGGTTGTGCAGGCTATGTCGTTCTTTACGACAGTAATAAACTGCTAATCTGTGACCCACAAAACTATTGATTGTCGCATTTATCAGTAACTTGCCTCGCGCGCGCACGGAAAGTTTGCTATCCTATCCTATCCTATTTACTTGTCTTCTCTTCTGCTCCATTCTATTTTATTCCTTTCATTCAAATTGTTATCCTATCCTATGGGTTGGTCATCCATTACAGTTCAGTGCAGCTCAAGAGTTAATAACGCAACGGTAGCAACGCTAACACCAAATAGGACGTGCGTGTTGGTGTCATGCAGGGAAGAGAGATCGGAGAGCATAAGGAAATAAGAAAGAGTCTGGGAGAATAGAACATGTATATCTTTATGCACTATAGACCCTCCTATTATGACCACTTCCTCAGGATAGGGTAACGTATCTTACTAATTAAATCAACAAAGCCAAACTACGTGGATGCTATTCTATATTATTTCCTGTAAGTTTGAAATGATACTAAACCTCAGGGAGGTTAAGCATTACGTTTATCGCATCCGCAAACGTTAGTTCACAGATAAAAAATGCTTGGTATTCACGTAGTTAAAAATGGAAAAGAGTAAACTTTCTTAATCCAAGTTTTCACAATATGAAAAACGCAATGCTTAGTGTTTTTATTGATCTCCACAGATATCAGTGTTGGCAGTGCTCAAATGAACTGATCATCATCATCATCATCATCATCAAAGATATCTCATGAGAATGACACAATGACACTGGGTGAACTAATAAGATATAACACTATCATCATCATCATCATCATCAAAGATATCTCATGAGAATGACACAATGACACTGGGTGAACTATTAAGATATAAACACTATCATCATCATCATC